TAATCTCCAAATATCATACCAAAATCTATAATGAATATATTATTTCAAACAAAAGAATTCTATTTCTAATATCTTACTTAACTAATGTATGAGTACCAAATGTTTCTAAAAATTGCTGTAAAAAATTACGACCAGTAATACAACTCAATATCATATTTAATGAAAGTATCTAATAAGATTTTAAAACCAAAATTTCTTTATATGATAAGGAAAAAGAAGAAAGAAAAGCATACTTTTCGATTAGCTAAATTAATTTTATTTGTACTTGCATCAAAAAGTAAATAACTTCGACCACCATTAGCTGTGATACGTCTTTCACAAACTATTTTTGCTCTTCGTAATTGATTAAGATATTTTGTTAAATCACGATTCATTAATAATTCACCTTTAGTTCCAAGTCTTGCTTGATGATTATCTAAATCACAATAGAATAAACACAATCAAATTCTATCTATATATTGGAGACGAAGATAATTCAGTCAGTCTCAAAAATGATGAAACTGACGTTGATGTGATTAAGTTAATAGTAGGTAGTTTTTGTAATGATCCTATGTTATATTTAACTTCTCACTAGAAAATAATTTGAAGCAAGAAGATTTTGTTTCTTTCAGAACAATCAAGGATTTAATAGGCGAAGTTTTCTATTTTATAGTATAACTATATTTTCGATTTATGACTAAATTAAACTTTTTTCGTCATTTAAGGAATAGAGTGTAGCGTACAAATTTAAAATTCACAATGAATTTTCCTATCAGTTCTTCAACTATTTGCAAAAGCTGAAGTTGTATAATTAGTTGCATGGTTTCGCACAATGCTTGAGTTTGAGAAAAAATTCTTTTGAATTTATTTTGTGAACATCTTCTTGAATTCATCGTAGTTTAGTCTATTTGAATCCTCATTTTCTATTGTATACAGTAAAATCTTTCTATTGTGAACATCATATAACCACTGAAAAAAAGGTTCAAAGACTTTTTAATAATAACAGAAGATACTGATTTTTTCAAACATCCTTCAATATATTTTTATCTATTATTTTTAAACTAATATCTATGATAATTAGTTGTGATTCTATTCCAACAATTAACTTCATTTGTGTAGTAGCAAACTAAACTTATGCCGTTATGCCATTATCTTGTTCATATGTACAATAGTAGATTCATAGAACAAGTATACTTAGCTCTAGTAATATGAGATAACTGATGAACAGTAGAAAGAAGTCAAACAAAGACATTGGATGTGTGTCCACATAAAAGAGGTCATAATAGCAAGAAGAATCGCAAAAAATATTTATGGATTGCTCAGAGTAAGAAAGTACACACTAGTAGAGGTTTTCTGAACATAAATCTGATTCACATACTGAAAAGTTTAACTATACACATTTTTATAATACATACATACCATTTGAAATAACACCTTCTTTTAATAAATTTTTGATGGCTGTTGCTTGCATGATTTCTGTTACAATGTAATTCCTAATGACCGTACAAAGAAAGTTTCGATCCGATGAAAACAAAATTAATTGAATTTATTTTATTACCAAAATTGTTCAAGTTTATCAAGATCATTACTTGTCTCAATGAGTTTAATAAAATTTTCATAATTCGATGCTAATGTAAATTTTCGTAATTTTTGTTCATTATTTAAATTTAATTGTTCAATGTGATACAAAATATTTTCATTTAAATAATCAGGTTCACATATTAAATTTATTGTTGGCTTAAAAACTATACAAGAAAAATGAAATTCTTTTCTTAGTTTTTTATTCATTGATTATTTCTAATTTACCTTTAAAAACACATATTTCACGTAATAAATGTCGTAAAGCTAATGTTGATGAATAACTTGATGGTAAAAGAAGAAGTAATAATGCTTCACTCAGTACTCTTAAATAATCATTTTCAAGTTCCTCGGTTCCTAAATAAGCATGTAAACGAAATGGATGTTCTTCTGGATATAATCTATTTATTTGTTTATTAACAAAAAAATACAAATTATATAGCAATTTTTCTTTCAAAAATACAAACGTTGCTCGTCGAACTTGTTGATAATGATCAGCAAATTGTTCAACAAGATCATTTGATATAACTTTAACCCAATCGATCTGAGCACAACGTGTTTTAACATTTGATACCATCAGATGAATTTCTTGTCTGAAGAAAAATTAAACTTATACAAATAATAAAAATTAGGACGGATAAAGTTGATGAAATTTTAAGTAGGTTATTTACAAAAATAACTAAGTGGCCAACGCCTTAAATCATCACTTCATTGAATGAATAGGTTTTACTAAGCAATTGAAAACCATGAAGTGATTTGATTTCCTGAAATTCTTACTCCTCCTATTAAACTTACATGGAAATTCAGAATACATGCTAGAATGTCCTTTCGAAAATGTCCTCGGACGAAATGTCCTTTATTTTTTCGTCCTCTCACATACATATATATGTAAGGACGAAAAAATAAAGGACATTTCGTCCAAGGACATTTTCGAAAGGACATTTTAGACTGTTACCGAAATTCATCTAGAAAATTCATTTCTTTATTTGATTTGTTGCAATAAATTTATAACAAATCAGAGAAAGCCATAATGGCATTAACTTAATAAGATTTTTGTTTTGTTTTATGTACTAATAAAAATGTGAGGAAAGATATATTGTTCATACCACTTTCAGTTAGCGTTGATTTTCAAGAAGAGAAGACGCGAATCAAACATTTCAGACTTTTCAATTTTGGTTTTTTCTCTTGTATGTGCATGGGTTGACGTGTCCTCTATTTTCTCACGTACAGTATTTCCTATTGAGCTGAAATATTTACGAATAATGTAAGGAAATATTTTGAACGATTACTTCTTTTTATTTTAAAACATGATGTTTCGGGAATTTTTACTAAAGTTTACCAAAAAAGCTCTAGTTAAAAGAAGATGTATTTTTTAGGGTGCTGTCAATATTTCTGTACTTTTATTCGAACAGTAGGAGATAATAGAAAACAAAAAAACTCTAGACACTCCCATGTTTGATGTCTGTAAAACAAATTTTTAGTTGTATGAGCCCGCTTGATACTGAAAAAAAAGAAGGACAATAATTGTATACTATTAGAAATTTAGCTTTATGCTTCGTAATAAAGACAGATTACTTGAATGCTTGAGTAAATGTTGTTTGTTCATAAGAAACATCTTTATACCAAGATAAAACAAGATCTTCTAAAAGTAAATCACATATTTGATCAATAATTGTTTCTAAATCAATATGCGTTTCCTGTATTTTAACAGGATTTTCTTTTAAATTTCCTTTTGAAGATATCTATTAAAAAAAGAAATTCATTTATAATTATTTCTTTGTTCTATTTACTTGAACTTGTTCAATAATCCATTTAACTATATTATTATGTTTAGTTTTTAATTTTCCACTATGAACAATTGTATAAGGTTTTGATTGATGTATTGCTAGTATGACACCATAGATTAAACCTTGAACAAGATTACATTCATAATTTTTTTCTTAATATAAATATCTACATACCAATTGATATTAATGAAAAAGGTATAGTAAAGTATGAATGATAAATAAAAAAATAGATAAATATACAAATCGTCGGAATGAATAAAATTGAAACTTTAGAATATATCCAAATCATTTATAATTATCTAAGAAAAAAAGTTTATTCCATCATCGTTTTTTATTTCGCGCAAAAAAGACAATAAAAAAATATTTGAACAATCAAATCATTTCTTTTTTCTCTTTTTTTCCACTGTTAATGTCTAAATTGATTTTCTATTCTTTTGCGATTATTTTCTTCATTGGTTTTTTTAAACTGGTGTCCGGTGCACCAGGACAAAAACTGAATACTGGAAATCCTGTACAAGTAAATGTATCAAAAACTATTGCTAAAATTGAAGACAATAACGACCATGAAGCAGAAGAAGATGAAATCGATGATATTATTTATGATGATTCAACAGATAAAACAAAACCAGTAGTTATTATACCTAAATCAAATAGTATACGAAGGGTACCACTACATATAAATAGTTTTCTATCAATCGGATTCATATTTTTCATTATTCATTCGAATTATTGTATTTAAAAAATAAACTTTACTGTTTATTGTACATGATCGTTTTTTTTTGTTTTCTTAATAATATAGAAATAACTATGAAAGCAAGATAGTTTTACTATGTGTAAGAACAACAACCAGTAGTTGTACGTGTCATATGTGATGATTATAATCGATCAGTATTTTTAAGAAATTTTAATTAACTATAAAGTCATTGTATGTAACACAACATAATTATACAGCGATACGTAGTATCTCGAGGGTATGGGTGCGGCTATCCTCTGTGTACCCTCACCTTGTTTATCATGTATCTTCTATTTATATCACTATCATGAAACAAAATACTGTTATTTAAAATATCGTCCGAAATACTCCAAGCTCATATAGATACGGTTGGATAGGAACCACTCTTCGTTTACATATTAATTAGTTGTCATTGAGGCCCAGAACTTATGGAACACCCTTTATTGATCAACAACTTTATATTAACACTCGTCGTTATCAGTTATCAGTCAAAAGAAGTTACCAGTATCATTCCTGATAAGACTAAAATATAGAATTTATGTAAACTTTCATGCCTTGTCCATTTTCGCTCATAATCGTCTAATCTAGAGTAAAGAACAAATATTCTATAAACATGTACATCTGTCTAAAAGCATGTCTATCTGTTACTATGCTTTTATAAAACAACTGTTATTTTCTTTCGTCAGCGATTGCTTTCTCTTAATATCTTAGATGATGTGAAAAACTGAAACATTGCAAAATAGTTTCTTTTTTTCATGAGAGAAAAAGGGACGATATCAATATTCGAATGATACTTATAGTCCAGATTAAGATGAAATATCAAGTATAATAAATAAAACAGAATAAAAACAAAATCTATTTTATACGTTATGATCATGTTAAATATCACAAAAGTTAAAAAAAGAAAAAAGAAAAACAAATCATCAATTTAGTTTTTTATCTCTTTTAATAGCATATTTCATTTTCTTCCATAATGCAATGCACATAATTGGTAAACGTTCATCAGTAATATCTTTTTGTTGAATACGTTGATATTGAAATCTAAAAAATAAAACATACATTTTTTCGTTTTTTTTTTTTTTTTTTGACAGATTTTTTTTTTGGTTTTTTTTTTTTTTTTTACCGAAGTATAATTCGAACTTCATCATAACGTTTTTGTTGTAAATAACTTAGTGCAAGAAATAAATAAGATTTGACTAATGCATTTGGATCACCGATTTCATTTGATAAACATATTTGACTTTTTGATATCATTTCAGCTTCTTTGGCCTGAATTAGTCAGAAGTGAAAATAAATAAATCTCTTTGATTTAAATAAATATGATTATACCTACGTGCTGTACAGATACTTCACCAAGACATGAATGACCACCACCTAATGTTGATAACCATGCCCATGATGATTCATAACGAATACGTTTTATTAAAACGCTTAATTGAATAGATGCCCTATAATTTAAACGATTAATAAAATTATTACGTTAAATAGAACTTACCAACGGCGATTAATCCATTCGTCATATTGATTAATTTTATTATGAACTTGTAAATAAATAATATTTTGACGATGACAAATACAACTAAAAATATATTTGAGACGTTTTCGATTGAATAATGAACGTGAATTATTGTTCAATTGAATGAGAAGTTGATAAAATATTGAAGCAAACTGAGATGATGATGACAGTTCACTGAGTAGTGTCGTATAAAAAAACAGATTTGATGAGATTTGACAATAAATTACTACTAAATTTTTGTCGATATTATTATTATCGAATGATTGATGATCAAGTAACAAACGAATTGGTGCGTTTTTATGACTTATTAATATGGACATTGAGTAAAGAAAAGATGAAAAACTGGAATCTATCAGTTTGTTGTCCGATCACTTGTTGAGTTTAAAGAAATCTTAAAATTATCAAAAGAAAACGATGGATCCTATTACATAAAGTATCGAAAGAGGGCGTAAGGTAACAAATAAAATTCATGATGTTTAATCAACAGATTGAATGAGATTTGATTTTGTGACAAAAAAAAAAGTATTCTTTGACTTAAGACTAAATTTTCAATTCTATTAAATGATCGAAGTAGACTCTTTGATGCCTGTAAGTATATATTTGACACACTCCAGATATTCTATTTTTACATGATGTATGTTTAGTATTATTTCTTTCATTTCAATGATTTGTTTAAGTAATCGATAACATTCTTTTATCTTACTTGAACTTAACTATATTTGAAGTTGAACTTCAGCGATTTGTATCAGAAAAGTAGTTGTTTAAAAAATATTAATCATGTAAAAAAACATGAGAATAATTGTTGCGATTTCAAAAGATAGAAACAATGATAAATAAAATTTACACGAAATTGATTTATAATTTATGTTTTTTTTTTGCAAGTTCGAAAGCATAATTCAATAGATATTGTACGAGTTCATTCGATAAAGATTTTTTTTTCATCGATAAAATTGTTAACTTAGATATTTATTATTAGAGAATTTTTCTTTTAAGAATACAACTCAAAAGATCAATTCTTTTCAATTGTTCAACATAGGTGACTAATGTATAACAAAACAAAAGATTTTAATTTAAACAAAAGTTCTTTTAAGTATCAAATATATTACACATCCGACATTATAATTCTTGATAGAACAAATCTGACGTTTGAAAAACAAGCTACCAACTTTCAGTTTCAATTGATTTTGCTTTCAATGACTATAGCAAATAACTTAGTTAAATTATGAAACAATGCAAACAAATATTTTTTGCTTTTTATGTTGAATATTCAGTTGTTTTCTATGGAACTAAATACGAATAGGCTTACGCAAAGCAACGAATAACTAGAGCACATTTCAAGACAAAAATGATGTTTGCATTTCTATTATCTATTTGATTGTCAATAATTAGCTTTTTCGTTTGTTTTTGAATAGATTAAACAAATATAAAAGTTTTTCATAGAATCGATTTCTATTATTCTATGCTACAGCTAGAATATCATTCAGAGATTGTTTTTTTTTAAATTATGTCAACCTTTTCCATATAATCTAAGATGTAGGTCTACAATTTCGTCTTGATTATAACATAATATAACTAGTTTGATATTAATTCCAGCATTATTATAATTCAAAAATAAGAAACATTAGATATAAATACGAATAGTTGGTAAATTCTGCTAGTTGTGTAGGAATCGTTATATGACAGAAAGTAATAATTACTTTGAATATTCAATAGCAGCAATACAAGTTTTTCTTGTTTCGAGCTGTTGTAGTTTTCATCATTTTACAATGACTAAAGTTTTCATTTGTTTGTAACACTTTGATAAATTCAAAAGATAAATATCGATATCCAATTATATTCATGATGTGTTATGGGTGAGAAGTGAAAAAGAACTTTTTCAATAGTTCGACCAATTATCATTTTCATTTTAAATTATGATGCTGTTTACAGTTCTTTATGCAACAATGGTTTTTTTTAGGTCACACAAAAAAAAAAATAAACAAAAACAAAACTTGAGAAATATTAGTTTTGATTGGTATTATTCAAAAACGTTCTATAGGATGAATACAAATCATGTGTAGTATTCGCTGACGTAATTGATTTTGTTGATGACAACATAGTAGACGATCAAAAAGTCGAATAAGTTCAATACGAAAAATTGTACCACGAATGGTATATATAAAAAACATTCCACTTGAATTAATATATGAAACAACTATTGAAACTTGAGAAACAAAATATTCATTATTCATTTGTTGCTGTGATTTTCTTATTACACTTGTTGTTGCTTGATAAAATTTGACTATAGTTATAGGAAACATACTTACAACAATTAAAGCTACCTAAATCAAAAATTAAAAAATAAAATAAAAATATAAGTTTTCGAATACATTCTTCATTCATATACTTCAAGTAATAATATTGATATAAGTTGTCTATCACGTCGATTTATTCTATGTATAGATCGCGTATTTGATTGAATATCTTCAACACGTTGATAACTTTGTTTTATATTAATTAACATAGCTGCACCAAAGCTTAGCATTAGACTTGGTGGTAAAAAACTATTAAATATTAAAAAGTTAGCTGTATCTATATATGAACATAATTGATTTTTAGCTGAACAAATATTATTAGTTATCAGTGATGCTTCAAAACAAAAAAATACTTCAATATAACTTAATGAAGTCAATATTGATATACATGATACAATAGAAAAAACTTTTCGTCGATTTATCCATCGATGATGAACAATATTTGACGATGATGATAGATATCTATCGATACAAGCTAATACAATCAGCCAAAGAGATACCGATTGAGATGCATATATAACATAATGACGTATTTTACAAAATATTGATGAATTATATGTTAAATCGATATTATAACCAATTAAACATCGTATAAAAACTCCAAATATCAGTACAAGAAAATTAAGAAAACTTGATAATAATAAGCATAAAACACAAGTATTATGACGAAGATGTGGTCGACTAAAGACATAAACATTTAATAAGTTTCCCAAAGTACCAACAATTAAAAGAAATAAAACTCCATAACGATTTAGTGCTGATACACCAACTGTTGCAAGATAAGATGAAAGATTGTCATCCATTGTTCATTTTAGTTTTAATAGTGATTATATGTTATTAGAAAAGAGATGATAAATTTTATAGTTTCTAGAGAAGAAGAAAAAAACATAGCATTGATAAGGTTTTTTTTACGCATTTGATATATTAAACGAAACAATAATTGATATTTTTTGATACTTTACACATAAGACAATTATTTTTCCAGCATGAATAAAAATTATCTATCTTGAATAATTTACAATGGTTTTTAATGTATTACTGTTAAAGTAAAAAATAACTTTGAAAGATACGTTTTATATAAGTATTTTTAAGTGGATTAGATAATGCTTATGTAGTATGTATTTAGATTACATTTCTCATTAAATTTATCTTAAAGTATATTACATTTCATCTGACCTAGATATGTGACTGATCTATCCTACATATGAAACTTTAAATTAGTAAAAAGACGCAAAATTTTCTTAATGAAATCCTCACTCAATATCATTGAACTTCTCATGCTATATACTTGAAAATCAGAATATTTCTAGAGTAGAGTCTTGTTTCTGTCACCAATTTTTATTGTTATATTGTTTTCTACAAGGGTTTTTGGTCAATAGGTTTATATCAAACATAAATGAACAAAATTTTTCATGTATATCATCTATATGGATGGTTTCTGTTTAGTTTTTAAAATTATCGCTTCCAAAAATTCGACTAGCTATATAGTAACTACAAAAAAATAATGACTCTGGATACAAGTACCGTATGATATCACTGAGTGAATAGATGATATTCAACTAAATCTGTCTTGTTTTTTGGTTGCATTTTGATCTATATCTCAATAAAAATGTTCTGTTAATTATAAAGATTGCCGTAAAAATGATTCAAACAACTAACGAGTAGCTACAAGCAACAAAAAGATCACAGATATAGTGATTTTGGTATTCAGTTGATAGCATGACAAAACCTATACAATGTTGACATGGAAAAATGATGAGTACATATCACATTGGGATAGAAGTATTATATTTATAGTATAAAAAGGGATAGAGTAAATAGGATTGTTTAGGACTATATATGCGATAGTTGTAAAAAAAAATTCATTTTCTTATAAGTTGATGCGAGGCACATATTTTAACAATTTATATCAATTCATTTGTATCTTTGATTCTTATTAGTAGTGTTGTAAATGAAAAAAGTAAAATAATACACCGTTTTTTTTTTCGTGATTTCAAACGGTTGTATCGTCAATTATTTAATACTTTGTTATTGATTAGGATAGTGGTAAGTTCTAAGCATAAAATACTTTTTTCTTAAAGAGAAAAAAGCCAAATACAATTACACTTTGTAACATGATTTGAAAATTTGAGCATAATTTTCATGGTTAATCTTGAAGAATACACTAACTTTATAATGAAGATATAAGATTTTTGACTATAGAAAGGTCGTATCACACTAGTTTTTCCTATCTTCACTAACCTGTCATATAGATTTTCTTCGACCACGAAAGTATTTGTATGTCATCATTAATGAAAGTCAATTATAAATAAACTAAGTGACATAGAGAACTAGACTTGAAAAAGTTTATTATAAAATCTTGTAGACATCAGGTACGTTTATTCTTTTAATGCAGTTATTCCATTGAATTCCAAATCATAATATAATCAATAATGCTCAGCAGTGCAGTTATCAAGTTTCAAGTAACTGACAACAACAAGAAGTAAACAAAGAAAAAAGCACGTTAACAATTATATTTTGATGAAGAATGTTAAATAGAAAACAATTCTTAATTGATTTTACTATACAAACCAATAAGAAAGTTTCCAAACAATTTGAAAAATAGTTGTAAGACAATATATAACAAATACAAGATATCATAATTCCTCTTCATACAAAATTTTATCTAGATCATGTAGAATTCAAAAAGAAATATAGAATACAAGCTGATTATACTCTTGAAATTGTATGCTTTGAGGTGGAGCAATTGTAGTAGATATTTTAGCTAACACTTTTTATTTGATTTTAATACCTTGTAATTAGATTATTTTCAATCAAGGAAAACCTAGTTTTATATTCATAGATGTATACATTTATCAATTTTAATATTTCAAGGATTAATCCACTACTAAAAAAAGGTATTTACTGATATTTTATTTTGTTTGCTTCGCAATTTTGCTAATAATTCAGCCACAGTCGGTCGAGAATATATTCCAGAAAGTTTAAAATAAAGTAAAGAATTCAATAAACAAGCATCAGAAATCGATCTTCTATTATAATTTATGATGATACTACTTTCAAAACTACTAAAATATCAGGTAAGACATATAGTTAGAGAGTTGCAAGTTCACATTTTCGTAGACTCGGATCTAATAGATCTAGATTTAAATTTGAGCATGTTTATAATAGAGTTTTGTACTAGTTACTCTAAACTTAAACCGTAGTCAAAACGCTGTACTTGGGTAGAATGATATCAACTTTTCCCTATTTAGACTCGAACTGAATAAAAATCGAGTTTCAAATAAAATCTGGATAGGAACCTAAATCCGACCACGTCGGATTTACGATAGGAGTTGGAACGAACCGCAATTGTCTACAGATGATTGTTCGATTTTCGTGAACTATTTATTCATATTGTGGATGTAGATACATGTGAATTCGCGCTTGAATATGGTGTAGACAGTATCAAAAATGTCGGAAATCACGAACTTCAATTTTATTTTTAGATTTATTCAATATTGATTGTTTTTTTGTTTGATCTATCAACTTAATAAACTATCGAATTAAACAGAGTTAAAGATATTTTTGTTTTTTCTTTCATGGCACAAGGTTTACCTACATATTTTTAGTTTTCTAATATCGAGATTCTTCATTGTTATTTTAGAAAAAATATAGCACTAATGGTGAATAACAATTATATGTGCTAGAACATAAGATAAATTTTGAATACGCATTAGATGGAATGTTGCTATCTAGTTTTAATTATTATCAACTCGTTTTTCACACTCAAAATTAAATAAAAATTGATGAACATATGTAATTCTGAATAATTGATTGAGATCGTTTTATCTAATATTTGTATGATGCAGTTAAGAATATTGATATACAATCGAAAACTACTAATTCAAATACTTAATATTAATAATAACAAAAATATAAAATATATTCACAAACAAAATACTTATTAGTTTGTATTGAATCATATGAAAAGTTCTACAAATAATCGTTTTCATATTATTAATTGTTGTTGTCTTTTTTTTTGTTAATAAAAATAAAAAACCTATTACTACATTTTATAAATTTGGATTCGATACATTTTTAATATCTTCGACATGCTTTTGTTTTGATTTTTAATCAGCCATAAGCACCTATTTTCAATATGTAATCTACATATGATTTGTCATAGACATCAAGTAAAGAATGCAAAAAAGTTTCACAGGTAAAATATGCATTCACCTTCATGGTGCTGATGCATATTTTATTCATTCTATTTATAACAGCACTCATACATTGATTTTGTCCTTCGTATCATTTCGTGAGTGTAATATTTGAAATAAATATGTCTCAACATCATGTAACTGATGTTCCTAAATATTTATCAATCGTTTACGTGAAACAGCCGTATGAATGTTTGCTGAATTAGATATTGCTGATCATCTTGCAGCTACTGATACACCACAAACAGCTAAAGAATTAGCACAAAAACAAGAATGGAATAGTGAATTTCTTTGTCAACTTTTATGTAGTGTGGCTGATGCTGATATTGTACGTGAAATAAAATCAAATGAAACAGTTGAACCAGAAAACAAAATCGTTTCGAATTAACTGAGGATGGTCGTTTTCTCACATCAAATCATCCAAGTAAAGATTGATATTTAATTTGTTGAAAATTAAGATCACTAATCAACACAGCTTCACATTATTTACCTAATTTATTACGTGATGGTTCGAGCAAAGATACTTTTATTCAACGAGTAACTAATAATGAAGCAATATTCGATTTCTTGAAAACAGAAGAAAATACAAATATCGCTCATAATTGTAACGAAACCATGACAAGTATGTCATCCTATCATAGTCAATATATTGTTAATAGTGTTGATTTTGATCGATTTAATACAATCGTTGATATCGGTGGTGGTTTAGGTTGTCTTTTACCTCATATACTTGAAAAATATTCAACAATCAAACAAGGTATTTGTTTTGATTTACCTAATGTTATTTAAGAAAAAGGAACTGAAACAGAATTGGAAAAACGAAACATATCTAAAGATCGATATCAATTTATCGCTGAAGATATGTTTGATCCTAAAACAATTCCACAAGCTGATGCTTACATTATGAAAAGTGTCATTCATGATTGAAATGATGATCAAGCAATTGATATTCTTAAAGCTATTCAAACAGCAGCTAATGGACAACAAATAACAATATTTATTGTTGATCTTATTATATTACCTGACACTGAGCAAAATAAATTTACGAATCAAACTGTACATGCAATCGATATTCACATGATGATATTGGTAGACGCAAAAGAACGTACTCAAAATTAATATGAATATCTTTGTGAACAAAGTGATTTTCGATTTAAACATTTATATCGTATAGAAACACCATTCTCAGTCATCGAAGCTATGGCTAATTAATTCGATACACTAAACTCATCATTTTTTTTGACTGTATTCTATTATATTCATTAAAAAAATAAAGATTCATGATATATAAACCCAAATACTGTAATACAACTAGTGATGAGCGGGACCAATCGTTTTTGATGTTGGATTCCGTCAAAACAAATTGGTTCCGATACTGCCGGGGCTGGGGCCATCTTGGCCATGTCTTGATGCAACGTATACTGATTATCAAATGGTATCGATCTTTCTAAAATAATTCCAACGGTTGATCAGCGTCATCTATTGATTTCAAAGTTATATGTCTATCATTCGAAGAGAATAATAAAAAATTCCCAATTCAGGTTTGTTTCTTTCTTAAAGCATTTGAATTATTTCATTGATAATAGTTTTTATTTCAGACGCAATTTCTTCTTCTATCTTCAAATGAACATATTAACCATATTATCAAATTCATATTCTAATGAATCTTCTCATTTAACATCAATGTATGGGAATCTATATCAGTCACCAACATTTTCTACAACGGCCGAACAATTTTATTGTGATTATCAACATGATTCAAGATCAATACCAATATTAGAACATATTGAATATTCAACAAATGATTATAATTGTAGATTAATAATGCTTTTCGATTTTGAAATTTTTTTTTTCTCATTTATTTATTTCTAGTTGTTTCTAACTACATGCCATATCAATCGTCATCAACACTTTTCTATCCACAAGAACCAATGATCAGTACGACTAAAATTCTTGTTAATCCATTCTTTAAAACACATTCAACAAATCGAACAAGTGAATCAGTATCCAACATCGAAAACAAATGTCCAACAGTACTCGAACAACAAGAAAATTCATCAATATCATCACGACATCGAAGTCGTTCACCATCATCTGATCGACAAGTAACAATATCTCGTAATAAAAACCCACGAAAACGTCAAAAACGAAAAGCACAACAAAAAAAATTTATTCAAGAAAAAGAATTAATATTTGAAAAACAACCATCATTAGTTTTTTCGAAACATAAACATTGTCATTCATCACCCGATCGTTGGGAACATAAAGAAGAACAATTAAAACGCTTATATAAAGAATATTCTAATGAAGATATATCTAAACAAGGGAAGCCATTATCGCATAATGAATATTATGAGTTATATCAATATTCTTTTGACAAACATCATCAAAGATCTATTGACGATCAAGACTAGTTTTATTATTATTATACTCAAAGTTCGATGTTTCAGTAGATTTTTTTGTGCGCTTTGTTGTTCTTATCAAATACATATAAACGTTTAGTGTTGAAAAGTTACCTCTTTTAGGTTTCGATCGTTTTATGTATAAAAGGTATAGTTTTTAAGCACAAGTTATTAGAAAGGTTGGAATTTGGGTGAAAAAAAGGACTTTGTCTCAATTGTTACGCAGATTTTTGTAAGTTAATTATTCATCCTTTTCAAACGGTTGAATATTTCAAATCTTACCAGTATATATTATTCTTACATGGACTCTAATAACTCGAAGATCTGTCACAGGTTTTGAATCTAAATTATCTCGGAACTACACTAAAATTTGATAGAGAGTTACTTTTATCATTCATTGGTTCGAGGTTATAGTATGAAACATATTGAACAATTTCAATACATATAATTATATTAATTTTAATTTACTAGATATGCGATTTCGTTTTCGACGATTGATCTATTTTCTACTATTAATAGTTTCATTAATTATTCCTTATCAACTATACATCATAACTCATAAATCAGTAAACTTTCAATCACCTTTTCTAGTGAGTATTTGATAAAAATCTCGGTCTTGCTATCATAGTATATATATATATATCTTTCTAATAGATAATTCATTTGAAAAATCGTACTTATCGTATACTATCTTCATCATTTAAATATAATTCTCGTGAATCATATCTTAATTTTGCGTATTTTAATGTTGAACAACGTTCTCGAGTGTTATATATTGATTATCTATATGGTAAGTTTTCATATATGATATAAATCAAAATTTTACTTATATTTTTTCTATTAAAGATATACCAGTTTCATCTCAATGGCAATCAAGTGGACATTTATATCCAATACAAATCGCTCAATTTGGTCTGAGTCATTGGAGTCGATTAAAATTGAATTCGAAGACTCAACAAAATCATATTCATAGATTTGAACGAATACAACCAAGTAAATTGATTTTCATGACACTTGAGAAAATTTTTCTGAATTTAATTAGATAAAAATGATTATTGTTCAACATGGCATATAATAAAAAATAAAATTATTCTCTCCAATACTTTTATTCATTTTACAATTTCATCCAATTGTTCATTGCATTTTCAATTTTTGAATAATAATATTGAACTTATTTATTCAACGATGATAATCAATGATTTGAAAAGTCCGACAAAAATAATTATTCCACTCAAAGGTTTTCCTCGTCAAGTTAATCGACATATGTTAATTGATATTGAAAAATCGATTCAAAAATTACATTTAATTAAAAATGATTTCATCAAAATTCGAATTTGTGGTGAACCGAATTCTTTTGTCAATCAACTAATAATCGGTAATCAAACACTATATAATCAACAAGCATTTTATTCAGCTACACGATGGCTATTAAATACTCAAGATTTTAAAACAGGTTGTTGGTTTATTTATGTTAAACGAAACTATGGTAATCATCATCAATATCATTTACGAATGCCATGGTGTTCAGCAATGGCACAAGGTAAATTTCTTTCTGACAATAATGTATAATATCATTTTGTAAACTTAGGTCAAGCAGCATCTTTACTTATACGTCTTTATACTCTTACAAATGATATTCAACATTTTTCAGCTATTCGTCGAGCTATTCAACCTCTATGGTCATCAAATATGACTCGAGCTTATTTTAATAATCGTTTTCTTTGGCTTGAAGAATATCCATTAGAATCACCTGCTAAAGGTCTTTTCGTTCTTAATGGATGTCTTTATGCTTTAATTGGTATTATCGATGCTCATACAATCGATCCTCAATCTTATTTATTAGAATTAATTAATGAAATAATTATTTCATTACAGTATATGCTTCCACATTATATACATTCTAAGATTTCAAATTGGTCTCTCTATGATTTAAGTCATATAACAATGCAATCAAAAATAAATACAGCTTCAGATTCATATCATCTTGTACATATAACTCTACTTCAATGTTTAAGTCAATTATTTAAAAAAACAAATGTTTCAACATCTCAACTATTTGATTTATATGCTCGACGATTTATATCAGCTATTTCGTAATAGAATTTTCATCAATTTTCTATAATTCTTCACTTTTTTTTACTGGATAATAATAAATAACAATAAAATCTTTTGTTTTTTCTTTATTATGTACAAGTCCAAAACCAAGAAATCGACAACCTGGATTTAGTATTGGAGTATAACGTTTCTGAAAGAAAATCATCATTCATTTTATCAAGTATTTATTTACTTTAAGTGAATGATCATTTTTTAAGTCTTTAATAAGTTGATTATGTATTATTTTAGCAATATCATAACCATAATTAACAGGTGCTCGACAAGACATAACTCTACATTTTGAATATATAGTTAATCGGTTATTTTTATAAAAAAAAATTTTCATACGTTTCTCCAATAGGTTCATTATTATGAATAAGATCAGATTGATTAGTATTTTCTATACGATTTTGAATAGAAAATTGAGTCGCTCGATAAAGTGCTCGATTTGTAAGTTCATTAGAAATTTCAAGTGGTATAAATCCTAGATGAAAACGATATTCATTTATCGTTTCAAGATATTCTTTCGTTAAACGATTTAAATCGATGTCACTTTGAATGTTATATAATTGATTTGGTGTTGCAACGATTTTATCTATTACATGAATGTTTCGATTGGAAATAATTAGTTGGCCTGATGGCGAATATTTATTCGAGATTTTTTCGTCTTCAGATGATCGAAATAATTTTATTGTATTTGAATTACGTATTTCCGGTGATAACCCCTCGTTTACTATTACGTTTACAGAGAGTATCTTTGGATTTCAACCACAGAAGGTACGACGACAAGCAAGAAATATATTCAACATACATTCTATTACCTCAATTATTTAGTCTTACATAATTAAAATCAACCTTTAAAATGAAATATAAAACAAACTAATTATAAGCAAATGGTATTTTTAGCGCTAATTGCTGATTAACTTGAGAATGTATTCAATCACAATTTATTAATAAAACAATAATGTTTAACAGTAATTTTAAATGTACTTAATTATACTGTTTTCGTCAAAGATAAAGCTTGCTTGTAAATATGATCTATCGTATTCAAAACTTGTTCATTCGAAATATGTATTTGAACAGAGTCGCTTTCAGTAATACAAAAAAAATATATAAATTCTATTGATAAGCGTAATGGTTGGACTACGACGAATGAGCCTCTTAGTGTTTCACGTCTGGGTCACTGCTTTTTCCACACAGGAAAACACCTTTTTAGAAAAATATTTCTCGTACAATTCCATATGAATTGCAGGCGTTGTTATTTCTAAAAAGTCTTCACTGTTTTGCAACATACAATATAATCATTTTGTCCAAGGTACGCAGTTTTCTATGATAATATTTTGTCGGACCTTTTTTTACATAAAATTTCAATTGTTGAATCATTATTGTTCTTGATGCCACTCTATTCCAGTTACTGACCTTTACAAACTCATCCCAGGTCAAAAAATTAGACATAAGGTCTTTAGATTAAATCTCTGATATTGTATGATTCTGTAAGATCAGACAAAAATAGCACGAAAAATCGTGGTGTCTGAAAAACTCATATTAGGTCGTGATGTATGATTCTTCCAAGATCATACTATCTATACGATCTTGAACGGTACACTTGGTTAACGACTGTTAAAAGATGAATGCAACATGAGCAATGAAATTGAGTCAGTGAATTCGACAAAATCACCACATCATCCTCGCATAGTACAAACAAAAGTAGCAATCAAGAAGGTTTAATGGAAACGTCAACGAAGCAGATGTTAAATGGAAAAATTTCTCTTGAATTAGGTTTATGTCGAATAAGTACTAGACGAATTCTTCGAAAAGGTCATGAGCATACAAGTCAGTGAAGAAAAGATCCACATCTACATCTTCATTTTTGACTACTTGTAGGATCATCGATAAATTATCCGCGGTGCAATTAAACTTGATATTAATAATATAGTAATTTGTTTCATATCTATTGGTTGTAACAAACCGAAAAAGGATCAATTTCAAATTTTCATTTTAGATTGGGTACATAACCTATATTAAGGTAGAACTAGATTTCTATGATTCTTCCTCAAATGTAAATTATCATTTCATCAAAATACATGCTTATTTAATCTCAGCAGCACTTGACAATGATTCCACTGGTTACTATAGCAGTATGCGCTGGAAAATTTATGCTAAGGTACTAAACTTCTCATCGGTTGTGAAGACAGTCTTAGAACAGAATTAATATATTGTCAATTCTGATTAATAATGTTTTATTTAAGAACTATGGAGTGTTTATATAACAATTGACTACCAACAAATATTTTCTAATAAATTTCACAATGATGCTTATTTAGTTCATCTGATATATTTTAAAGCTAGCACCGTCTTACATATTATTTTTAAGTTTGTTTTGGTTTGAAGATCCAAGTCAAGGTGGCACCACACGCATATTTATTAGAAACAAAAAAGACAATATGGAAAATAGAAGTAATAAATAATATGATGGACATATTGTTAAACTGTCACCAGTGATGATAGGTTGTTCAAAAATACAAGAGAAACCTCTTTTGTTCAATCCAATAAAATCAAATGATATAGGTTCTGATTTGAGTCAACATCGCTCATGTTTTTTTTTGAATCTGTCTTTTTTCAATATCAGTTCATCGCTTTTTTTCTGATTCTTTTCATAATGCATATGCTGGAACCTTGGTAAGAGTTTTTTCGTCGATATACGTACTATTTAACTTTTATTATTATGATTATTTAATAGAAACGTTTATTGGAAATATCGTCTACAACTCGTTGTAAGCCAAATTCTATAAATCAAGGTTTGAGTCGAATGGATTTAAACTGTATTCTATTCGATATCCTTTTGTACCACATCATTCACCATCGCAATTAAGATTTTCTCAAAAATATGAAGGAAATGAATAGCGACTGATACTATTATTTGGTTATCACTACGCTTTTCAATGTGTTGTAAGTATAAATATCATATCTTTCTTCGACAAGACACATACGAATGTCCATTATATATATTAACTAAACTGTTTTTAAAGTAGGAGACAAAATTATGATGATGAATTTTCAGAAAGAATCATCGGAGTAAAAAAAAAATCTGATGATGCTTTTTTTGGATGAATCAATAATCATGATTCAAATGAAAGATACATGTGAATAGTTGTCGACTACATAGCAAGCTAAATATAGTTTATCTGTAAAAGGATGAAAAAACTTGATTTTTGATTTATATATAGATATTTCAAATCACGTCTCCCTTACAATACTACAAACATCTAATGTTTTTGGCATTCGCAATGAATTTAGCGGATTCCTGCGGCTGATATCATGATACAAATGAAACAAATAAGCTTTTACTTGATGAATTCGATCGCTTATTTTGATTGTTATGTTCTGTGAGTATAGTATGCCACTTTATAAGATCTTATACATATAATAAGACAAAATTTTCTTTCATATGCAGCCTAATATTGCATTTTCAAAGAAGTCCAGGAAAACCAGATAATATAAAAACTATTACTTATTGTTCGAGTTATTACATAACATCTGAGCATATGATAGATCCAGTAACGTATAAATGATTAAATCGATTGCAAAATGTATCTATTGGAGAAAACAAATAACATTCCAGGACATAGCATCATCTAGTATGTGAATCGTATAAACGATAATAAAGAATAAGAATAAAGAGATACGTTCTAGTCTTCTGATTAAGAAATTTTTCTGCGCATTATCATAATTACATGAATCAATATTCAGGCAAATGAAAAACACTGGAAAAATTAATAACCTGTTTCTTTCAACTAGTGGTTGCAGTTTCCTTTTAATAATCTAAAAGCTAGTCCGTCAATACTCCCGTCTTTTTCTTTAACTGCTATTGACGACGAGTGATGTTTCGAGTAAAAGCACATTTACACGTAGTCTTTTCTAAATTGGGCATGTTTTTGAAAATATGAGTTCGCACTTCATAGTCGAAGCTGCTAATACTTTGAGTTATTAGACAATTATGTTTTTCTTAAAGTTACTATTTTTAAGAAAAGGCAGTGATACTTATCATCTATTTTATGGAACAGATGTCTCAATCAATCAACCGTTTTGGTCCGATACAGAGCTATTATACATTCAACCTCGAAAGTGCCATCGGTGTACTTTAAAAGTACAGAGCTCACTATTTTAAATTGAGTAATTACTTAATGTTCGTTACTATGGGATGGGATCCATAATTCAATCTATTAATAGGTCAAATTTGATAGTTTCTGGATTAACAAACAATAATAAGATATTTAATTAGCGACGATGAAGAATAAGTCTTTTCTTCGCGATTATTATATGCATATTATCTTCTCGTTCATATTCGATTTTTTGCAACTCAATGAGCATGATTTCCAACGAAAATCTTCATTTTCTCATTCATCCTCAAAATAAATAAAAACTCCTGTCTTGCAAAATGAATATTTTTCTTTTTACGAGTATAAAACAAACAAGGTGATGATTTGTCTTTCTTCTTGTGTTTTTAAGATGAAAACGATGACGATAACCATAATGATGAGTTTTTGATTAATTCATCATCACAAACAAATACTCAGTTATCCAATGTGAAAATGTTACCTGTCCAATGTCCATCTTCTTACTCTATTGTATCTTCTTGTCATTCATCACTTGTTACTCTATCCAGTGAGTCAAATTTATCTCTTCCACGACTCCTGACTCCTTCAATAGTTTCCAAAACAATTTATGGTCAATTGATAAGCAAACAGCTACCTCCATCGTCTTTCATAACAAAGCAACCAAGTTCACATGTTTGAAAACAAAGAAAGTCTGACGAATTTGTTACTAGTGATTCGTTTTTAGGTGAAATCAACCAAAAGGCAGAGAAAAAGTTTGCTAAGTCGAAAACTGGAAAGTCAGGTGCAGATCAAAACAAAGCATGCCACATAAACGAAAGAAAGCAACAGAAAGTAACTAAAGAAAACTGAATCTATTTAAAGTTAATTTCTTCGTTCATGCATGTCTAAGGTATCGAAATATTTTGGATGTTTTCTACACAATTCTTATTGTTGAAAATAAAACGCTTAGCAAATTTAATTTCTTGAACGAAAAGTAAACATTTTATTAATCGAATATAACATTCACAAAATGTTTCCGAATTCAATTGCTTCTATCGTGAAAAGGTAAGCCATTTCATACACTTGAGTAACAGCAAGTGTAATCCTACAAAACATAAATATCTATGAAACAAAACAAAAGAGTTGTTGCCTATCGTTTGTTATCCAGTCACTATAAATCAATGGTATAGAGTAATCATTTTTCCTATAAAAAGTTTCAATGGGGATTCTTGTTTCCTTGATAATCTTTATATATGCATATACGCAGCGAGTATCTTGTACAACGTTATAAAAAAATCTATCGAAGGCTCTATGAAACAATCAGTTCATAGAGGTTCGATTAGAAGCACTTGAATATAGAAAAAAGTTATGTATTATTTTTAATACATTTTACAGCATTCGCTCTTGACTTGAACGTAAATATAGAAAGAAAATTATTTTTGTTTTATAATTCACTAAAGAGCCATTGTCCATTCGAAACTAAGCACAGAAAAAACGGTTCATTGAAAGTTACTACTACGAATTTTCTGTTTTCCAAATGCAAGGAAATTGTACCTAATGCATTGTTATCAGAATAAAATCCAAAAATATAAACTTTTTAAAAACTAAATTTAAGAAGCTATTAAAAATTGGTTGAATAAGAGTGACTTGTCAAGCAAAAAGTTATTGAGATTAAAAAAAATATATATTTTACTATAATAATAATGTTATTATTATATCGAAATAAATTGGATTCGAAAAAATCTTGCACAATTTCATACTGCATTAGTATAAAACGAGTTTTCCATTAACTTATAAATATTGAAGAAAATACAAAGTTAATAATGTGATAAATTTTAATTCTAGACGATTTATTTCTTTGCTTCTAAATTGATTTTTAAACAAAATCAAATCTACTTGATAATCGAACTAACAATTTGAAAATATCATTCAAATTAATATTTTATTTGATTTATCTTTTTCAATTCGAATAACATAAAATCAATAGATGATAGTTCATCAATAGAATTGACACTTCTCTTTTCAGTTGTCGGATAGGATGTGGAGATGGGTCAACGATAGAACCACTCATACATCCAAAAAGTACTACGATTTAAATCAGCAAAAATTTAAATCTTAATTTTTTTTAAATAAATCAAATAATACACTTGATTGGAGGTCTAAATGAGCAAACTGAATAGAACAACATATTATCTTGGCTGAATCAGTTGATAATTTCAGGACCGTCTCAATTCAGATACTTTGTTTATTTTATATTATAGGGGTGTTGAGACGAAAAGAAACAATTAATTCTTCAAACGAATGTTTTTTTTCACTATTTTTTAATAAGCACTTATAACGAAAATACACTGCAACTTATTTTTTTTCTTGAATGATAAATATTTTTTTAACATGAATTTTATAATATGTTGGCATATTTTCTACGTTTTGTTCAATAGGGAACGTCTTATTTATATCTATAGCAGGAGAGTCTTATTTGTATCCAAAGTAAAAATAAATTTTCAAAAGCAATCAAGAGAAATATCTTCTCTGATCCTACAGACAAATTTATTTTGGTTTACAAAGAGCAGTTAACTATTCAACTATTCAACTTTTTAAGTATTTAATTAGTCAACGCCTGAAATGCTACTAGAATCACCTAACATCGTCAGGTATGTCTGGAATGCTACTAGCATCACTTGGCATGCCATAGGGTTCTTTAGAATGCTGTTAGTATTACGTAGGATGTTACAAGCATCACCTAGAATGCTACAAACATTCCTTATGATACTACAGGTTGTGGTTGAGATGCTTTAGACATTATCTGGGATGCTACAAGAACTATGTGAGAAGCTTGAGCTACCATGTAGCACTGAGTAGGAATAATGGTGTACATAGAGACGTGCATGGGTCGCAGCGCTTCGCACCCCACGCCGCGACACTGAAATAAAAGATGTGTTAGGTGGGGAAAAGCGCTTCCCCACTGAATATCCGCAGAAACACTTGAGAAGTTAAAATTTCAATAGTTGAATAGCTGAATACTTGAATAGTTGAATGGTTAAAAACTTGAATACTTGACGGCTTGTCCACGTAACGCGGCAGTTCGCTGATCAAGTGTTGAAAAATGTTTTTCGAGTTGAACAGATATGAATGGGTTACTAGATGCAGTTTCTAATGCTGATTGCGAATTTGACGTTTACTTTGTAAAAATATTAGATTTTGACATCGAAATCAGGGTTTTAAATAACTTTTCAAAAATCGTATCTTGAATTTTCTAACCAAGAAATTTTTTTAAATGCCGAAGAACAAACCATTCGATGCAGACTTTCACCTTCTACAAAATGGTCTACTGAGTTTTGACTTTTGTAGTTAAGAACAATTTTTCGACTACTATGCAGTTTCCAACTTATTCTTCAGTTTATCAGCTCTTGTGCAGGTGTATCAATCTCATTCTTATGTAAAACGATGAACTACATAGAAAAGAGTAATACTTATAAAAATCAAATCATTCTAACCATGTGAAGTGTCTCAAAATTGGTTTTTTACTGCCTAAAAGCCTGTTCGATGCTCTACAAAGCTAGTTCTAAGAACATTTCATTTGGAGAAATAGTTTTGGAAGAAATTTGAGTTTCTAGACGGCACTGGGAAAAAAGGTCTGTTTATGCAGCAGCGTTACGCGATGATAAAACCTTTCTAGACGCCCGAGACTTCAACAAAGAACTTTGACATCAATCGCTATGTTAATAAGTATTCATAGAATAGAACGTTAACTTAATAGCATGAATATCTTTTCTGAATAAAAGAGTTTTCGATTTAAATGGTTATACCATACGAAAACATTATAGTCAATTATTGAAGCAATTGTCAATAAGAAAAAAAGCATAATTAATACTAACAGTCACATTTATTTCTCATGATTATACCACAAAAATAAATAGATAAACAATGAAAATAATTATTGTCGAGTAAATAAGGAGTTTTCATAAAATTTTAATGAATAAATTTGTGCACAATATTTTTCATAAATATCTTCTCCTAAAATATCGATCAGTTTTTTTCGTATTTCTGTTTCACTAACAAGATCTAATATATCAAGAACTTGTTTTAATTCTTCTGGTGATATTTCATTTAAACAATTTTCTCTTAATGCATCACGTCGTTCTTCTAATTTCGCCGTTGTCATCATTGTACGATCAAACATTGATGGAACTTCAACTGATGTTGATGATGATACTGGTAAACGTAATGTAGCATCAAGTTCATGTAAGAAATCATTCATATCCTTTTTAGCTTTACGTTCTTGTTCAACAGTATCAATTTGACTATCATTTGACATAGAACGATCATAAACTGGTGGAGTTGTTGGAGGTTTATTATCGTCTTCTGATGGATTTGCTGTTGAATGAATACGTTGTTCACGTCGTCGTTGACGAGCACTAGTACTTGCATTAGAGATACTATTGCCTAAAAATCATCAATAGATTCATTTAAAAAACAAATATTAGTAATACAAAAAGAAGAATACCATCGCTTTGGTTTTCAGAACTGGGTGATGATGAATTACGTTTAAAACGTACAAGTGTATCATTTTGCCGTATTTTCTCTATAAAAGAATTATTGATTAGATTTGTATCTTTTTCTTCATCTTCATTTGAAACAGTTATAATCGGTGTTGGTGATTCAGGTGTTTCGTTGTTAGTAAATGTAGTTTTTTGTTTAAGACGTCGAGCTCGTGATTGACTTAATGGTGGAGTAGATGGTGGTGGTTTTTCGTTGATATTTTCATCGGTACGTGATACATTTGCAGAACGTGGTTTAGGTATTGGAGGCATTGAATGACGATCAGCATCGTGTAATGGTGTAGCAAGTAATGATGATTCAGTAGACTGCTTAAAAATAAAGAACTTATTTATTATTTTTAAATGTCGAACTATTCTTACAAATCAAACAACTTTGATGGAATTAAAATTTAGAGTAAACTATGCAGTAATGAATAGGCATGTCAGACATTTCAATTTTTGATTCTTCTGTCCAATAATAAATGGTAACAACAAAAACTAATACTTTTTCAAAACTTTTCTGAGTAGTTCTATATGATGTTTTTGCAAAAGTTATTCAAAAACGTTTTTGATCAAATTAAACTTTTCCTATTGATAAAAACAATGGAGAATTTTACAGTTTTTCTTTTTAACATTTTTCTCGTACAAAACAAATCTCTCTTTAGTTTAATACCATTGTCACCAATATATTCTCAGCTAAATATCAGTTTTACCCTGTACCGGCGTTGCTACATATGACTGACAACGTTCACGTGTTTTATCATATAATCGAGCAATATGCTGTTTTATATATGGATGTTGTAAAATTTGCTTAGCTGTTGGTCTATTTGCTGCATCTTTATCTAACATAGCATTAATTAATTCAATTAATGGTTTACTATAAACATCAGCTGATGGTAAAGGTGGTGTTTGGCCACGAACAACTTTTAATACAAGTGAACTAATATCACCAGCTTTAAATGCATGTTCTAATGTTGCCATTTCATAAACACAACAACCAAGTGCCCATATATCTGATTTTTGACCATAGGGTTGATTTGAAAATATTTCTGGACTCATATAATATCTAAGAAAGAAATTATAGAAAAAAAAAACTTTTTTCAATATTATTTTAAACCAAAATACTTACGGTGTACCAATAACAGTTGTAGCTAAATCTGCTCCATTATTATCTAATATTTTTGCTATACCTAAATCACCAACTTTAACTATTTCATGTTTAGTTAAAAAAATATTTTGTGTTTTCAAATCACGATGTAATATAGATCTATCATGCATATATTGTAATGCAAGTGTTATTTGTATAAACCACTCAATAATTTGTTCTTCATTTAATAGTTGTTTTTTACGATATTTTAATTTTGTATACAAATCTCCACCTTCGCAAAATGCCATAACAATATTTAAATAATGATCACGTGAACGAAATGATTCAATATATGCAACTATATTTGGATGTTTAAGAGAAGACAATAATTGTGCTTCACGTTCGGCAGCAGCAAGTTCATTTTTTTCATTATTCGAACGTCCAACACAAACACGTTTAAGTACACAACGGCGAGGTTTACTTTTACTACCAATACTTGATTCAAGTGGTGACACAAGCCATACTTCACCATAACTGCCACGGCCAAGTACTTTGATTACTTTATAACGATCTTTGACTAGAATTAGTTCATTATCAGAAGTGGTTGAAGTAGGTGTATTGTTTTCTGCCATATTAGTTTTTTTTCTACTACTTATAAAAAATGTATGAGAACATGTAAAACATAAGTATTTGTTACCATTAATAAAGCATAATTCTCAAGAGGTTTACCTTGGTAACAGATATTATTCTTACAAAGATTTTGATATAACATGCAAACCTAACGAATATACTAATATATTTAAAAAACAAAGGAAAAATTGTTATGGTAGTATTTCTTTTCATTAATGGTTTCAAGTCACGATCAGATGGCACCACTAAACATACTCGATTTTGTTACCAAGAACAAAAAAAAAGATAGAACCCACTGAACTCGGAAAAGTAAATTTTGTAACAGTTATTTTCTTGATATACAATAGATAATATAGTCTTAAGAAAATGTCGAATGTATCACGAATATATCTCATTATGATTGAGCTAAACATGTATGTACAACATTTGTTCAACGATCGTATCTAACAGTTGAATTGATGCAAGTTTAATATTTTTTCATACGCAAAAGCACACTTATGTCATTTAGTCACAATCATTGTTTCGTCATCATCATTATTACATGTGATAATACGAGTAATTTCTACATCACTTAATACTCTTTGTTAACTATTTTCCCTCTCTTTTTTCTTTTCACTTGCATATTTATTTACAATAACAAAGGCATATTTCTATTTATATATTCTATAAGTCGTAGATGTAAGAAAGATGCTTGTGATAAAACGATGTAAACAACATGACCGATCTCCAACTCAATCATCTTCATCATCTCATAGACTATTTGCAGATTATCCTTATCCGACATTAACTAAACTTGAAAAAACATGTGAACAACAACAGAAACTATATAATCATTCTCATACTCCAATATCTTTACGACGATATAAAGATTATTTAAACAAAATGTTAAGCACATTAAATAGTCTGCATCATCATAATTCTCCAATATCAACTCCAGAACAAATTGTTCAGCAAACAGATATTGATAGATATTTATCAAAAGCTCATGTTAATAATTCACAACAAAAAAACAGACCAACTGATAATAAACAATTATTTGTTAGTTCAACAAATTCAATGATACATGTTCACAATGGACAAAACAATGAACAAGATGTAAAAGGACAAAATATAACAAATTTGGATTATCATATTAATTATAATAAAGGTTGAAGTTATCTTTCAAATCAGTTAATTTTTTTATTTTGTCTTGTTATAAACAAAAATAAAAAGAAACCATTGTATAACATTGAATAGTTGTCTTCAAATACTTCATCAATTGAAGTAAGTAAAAAAACATGAATAAATTATTGATTTATTTATTCTTTTTTTTCTTTTCGAATTAATATTAATATTTTCCATATTATTCGTATGAATACAAATAGAATGAAAATAATCAAAAGAAAACAAATGAGAATATCTAATGAATATTTTTCCATCCAATTCATCTGACTATCATATGATACTATTTGTTTTTGTAAATCACGTCCATATTTACTCATATATTCAATGATATTTTGAGCACGTTTTAAACCATCACCATATATACGAAATGAATCTGCTATTTTTTTTGTATTACGACGATATATATGTGGATTATTTAATATTAAAAGAATTTTTTCAACTAATTCATTTGATGTAAAATTATTTTTATCAATATATAAACCCATATGTAATTCTACACTACGTTTAGCAACTTGATATTGATCAAGAAAAAGTGGAAATGCAATATGTGGAATACCAAACACAATTGATTCATGCATTGAACTCATACCACAATGATTTATATAAATTGAACGCTCTTGTTGCATAGCTGGATGTGATAAGATTGTTTTTTGTGGTACAAAACCTTCAAGACGAAATCGACTATCATTACTTGTTAAAGTATTACCACGAGCCCATAAAACACGTATTTGAGAAGAATTTTTTGTTTCTATTAATTTCATAAAAGCATAAATAAGTTTATTTGATTGTTCTTGTGTAAGAAGACCAATTGAACCTAAACTTATATAGATAAGTGTATCATTTTGTTGAACAATATCATTAAGCCATACAAGTAAATCAGGATTAATTGGTTGTAAACGATATTGATATACAAATGGACCTAAGAAATGAATAGCAGGATTAATAACTGCACGTGAAATTTCAAATGGTGATGCTGTACTAACGAATACACTAAGATAATGTTTTTTAATTAAATATTCATAATCAAAATTTCGTTCATAAATACGAGAAAATATAAAATATGTTTGATATGGTATTATTAATGAACGATAAAAAAATAATTGAATACGACCAATAAAAGTCGATGATGAATAAGGAACAATATATGATGGTGTATGCCAACGTGGTGTCATACTTGGTAAATTAAGTGCATCAATAAGAAATGGACAAACAACAATAGCTGGTATGGAACCAAGTTGTTCAGCTAAATCAATCGCCCATAACATATTTAAATCGAAAATAATTACACGAGGTTTAGCATGTTTTTTACGAAGTAATGGAAGAAGTGTTTCATAAGCAACACGATTAAAACTATGAAAAAGATGAGCCATACGAGATACAAAACTGAGATAATTTCTTAATGGTTGTGAATCCATTAATGAAAATTGATGCATATCATCAAGAGTAACATCATATGTAATACCACCATCAATATAATTAAGACCTTCATCAGTTACCCATGATGAAACATTAACATCAGCATAGGACGGTACACTAACAAGTATTTCAGTATCATTATCAGTTCCATTAAATGTTAATTGTTTAGCTAATTCGAGAATTGGATTTAAATGACCGCGTTCAGGTGGAGCAATTAATAAAATATAATTATTAGCTAAAAGAAAATTTTGTTATAGAAATTAATAATATTAAAAAATTGATTTTTATTTTTTTCTAATCGAAAGAATTAAAAGAAAAGATATCAAGGACACTCGACTCAAAAACCAATACCTAAAGAAAAAAATTTCAATGTTTTTGTGTTGTCCAATTTTCTAATGTAATTAAATAATAATAGGAAAAAAAATGTCATTTCCAAGTAAACGTGATTTATGACTTGATACTGCCTTACATGCATAATCTAAACATATAAACGGCGATGCTAGATCGTATAGACAATCAAATATATCTGTCAACAGAAATAATGCTTATCTTAATCGTCCAGAATACTTTAAGATCTACATTCTGTAAACTTATCAAAATCAATAATAAATCTTTGTATAGATATTATTAAAAAAAATGAAAGCATTCAAAATCAATTTACCTTCTTGAGAACAATCCACTGGATAAATAACTAACAATACCAACAAAATGCCAAAGTTCGTCATCTTTTCTCCTCCATGATCTGGAACGAGATATAGATGATTCGAAATTTTTTTTTGTTTTGTTTTGTTAGACTTATTATTTATTTTTATTCCTTTAGTGAGAAATAGCAAAGATAAAAGACAATTTGATCATGTGAAACAAAAATTGAATTAGGCTAACAAATCACGTTTACATGACAAACAATAGGAAGAATAATAGAAAAAATTGTGTAGATGAGCGTCACATAGAATGACCAATATTGCCCATAAGAAAGATGAATATATATTCAATCGTTTACGATTGCAAGTCTTTACGCATGTTCTTCTTCTTCGCCTTCCGCACCTTCGCCTTCTTCTGCAACATAAATTACATACATCAGTCTAACAAAAACAATAACAAATACAAAAAAA